TATTTTCATTAGGCATTCGCCTCTCCATCTGTATTCATGATTTTTAAATGTTTATTTTACATCTGCACATACCTAAGATGAAAATGATTATACACACACGCACAATATATACCTATGTATACACACACGTGTGTGTGTACAGGGTTCTTGAAGGTATAAGCGGTTTAAATTCAATACCTTTTTAAGACTTTTTAAGACATACCAATTGCTTTTTAAGACTGAGTTTCTTGTTATTAAATGCACACTTACCATTAATGTTTAGGCCTACTTGTCGCACCAGTGACCAATATATAAAGAATTCACCTCAACTTACATGGCCTCTCAGATAGATTGTGTGTTAAAATGATTTTTTTGCACATGGTACATAGTAAACGTTTGCATCAATCAGAATATTCAAGGTCTAATAATGACAAATTATTTTTAACCAAGTCGTGTAACAAATATATGTACATTTATTTGAAGAAAGATATGCCTTAGGCAAACTTACAACATCAGAAGGCCTACGACAGAAAAGGTCCATTTTTAAGACTTTAAGGCCTTAGATAATAAAAAAAATATATCTATATAACTATGTTTGATGCACACACACACATCCATAAATATATTGTCATGGTACAAAATGATTAAAAAAAAAGAAAAATAATGATTAATTTACAAATTCTAACAAAGTCTAACTATGTTTCTTGCTCTGAGATCTTGGACCGGTAGCATATCTTGTATATAGGGATGCATAACTATATTTTACGTTCTATGTACCGGTATTTATGGCATCAGGCATACAAATATCAAACAAGAAATGGAAAGCTTACATTATGTAAAATATTCCTTTTTACATAAGAAGGGAAGTGGTCGATTTATATTTGTTTACATTTGCAGTCGGCTGAGAGTCAAGGCTGCTGGCTATCAGCACAATCTCTTGCTGTATTTCCCGACAGTTCTCCAACAAATTCAGGAGATTTGAATATGTAAGTTTAGTAATGTATGTCATATTCTGATTTTTGTTCGAAGAAATCGCCTATTATTTAATTTTTGAAAAAAATGAAAACGTGACTGAGAGTTTTGTGCACAATGTTGTTCTTATTATCAGTTGAAAGTTAATGATGAGAACCTAGACTTGCCTTTTTTGTTAAATGAAGAATGGAATTCCACTTTACTTTAGTGGTGAATGAAAACTTTTCTTACAACTGACAGGTATCATGTTCATATTTGCGCCATAGCTTATTTTCATTAATTCACTCTTGTCATTAATTCCAAATTAATGTTGAAGTGAGCTACAGCACCAGTGCACATATGAATGCTTTTCAGGGCTTTGGAAACCTTGATTAGGGAATAAGAAGTCAAGTTAATGACAGGCGTATATGAGATTCTGTGTTTATGTAAATTATCTATTAATCTATTCCTTTACCTATTCAAGTCTTTGCTAAATCCTCCTCCTACTTATCTGACTCTAATCCCACCATCTATCTGATTCTCCATCCATCAATTTCCCCATCAATCCATTCATCTCACCCCCCTCCCCTCTCTTCCCTCACCCCGACCAGCCCAGCAGCGACATCTATCACCGACGCAAATGCCCCGACTTCTAATGACAAGGGCGGCGCATATACCGCTCCCCGAGCTCGCCGCGGCCGGATCTGTCTTCATTACGCCCGCGACTCATCGGGGAGGCGTTGCTCGATTTATGATAAAGAAAAATGGAGGCAAGTTTTTGAGCAGCGTGTGCGGACGAGGTAATGCGCCGGCGGGAGGGAGGGGGGGTGAAAAGGAGGGGGGGGGTGGAAAAGGAGGGGAGAGGGGGTGGAAAAGGAGGGGAGAGTGGGGTGAAAAGGAGGGGAGAGTGGGTGGAGAAGGAGGGGAGAGTGGGGTGGAAAAGGAGGGGAGAGTGGGGTGGAAAAGGAGGGGAAGTGGGGTGAAAAGGGGAGGGGTGGAAAGGAGGGAGAGTGGGTGGAAAAGGAGGGGAGAGTGGGGTGGAAAAGGAGGGGAGGGGGGTGGAAAAGGAGGGGAGAGTGGGGGAAAAGGAGGGAGAGTGGGTGGAAAAGGAGGGAGAGTGGGTGGAAAAGGAGGGGGAGGGGGTGGAAAGGAGGGGAGAGTGGAAAAGGAGGGGAGAGTGGGGTGAAAAAGGAGGGGAGTGGGGTGGAAAGGAGGGTGGGGTGGAAAAGGAGAGGGAAAAAGGAGGGGAGAGTGGAGGGGGAATGGAAAGGAAAATGAGGGCGAAGTGGGAGAGGAGTGGGAGTAGGAAGGAAAATGAAAGGAGGACTGGGGAGGGGAGTGGAGAATGAGAGGAAAAGGAGCAGGAAGGAAAATTAAGGGGGGGGGAGTGGTAAGAGAGGAGGAAGGGGACTGAAGAGTGAGAAGGGAAATAAAAATGGGGGTAGAAAGAGGGGAGTGGGGAGAGGGAAGGAAAATGAACAGGGGAATGGCAGGACGCGAGTGAGGGAAAGGGTTGAAGGAAGATTATTAGGAAGAGGAGAGGGAAAGACTGCTGAGAGGGGAGTGGGAGGAAGAGTTTGGGGAGGAAAGAGGAGTGAGAGAAGGGAGGTTGGGGAGGGAGAATTAGTGAGTAGGGAAGGGTTTACTTGAAGGAGGTGACAGGTGGGGGCAAAGAATGAGGGAAATGGGGCACCATTATCACACTTATTGTTATGATTATAATCATCAT